AACCATAAACGCTAAAACCCAAAACCCTAAAACCAAAAACTCTAAAACCCCAAACCCTAAAACCCAAAGCCTAAAACCCCAAACCCTAAAACCAACAATCCTAAAGCCTAAAACCATAAACCCTAAAACCCCAAACCCTAAAACCAAAAATCCTAAACCCTGAAAAACACTTTGTCTGACGCACGCTCGGCCAAGACACCGCGGCCAAGAACGCGGCATGGGCGGCCCACATGGCATGTCTCAGGCTATTGGGTTCTTGTTAAGGGATTTAATTTAAGTTACCATAATAGGGATTTATAGTAAATAATATGGTTTCCTTATTATGGTAACTTAAATTAAATCCCTTAACAAGAACCCAGGCTATTCTGTGTGGAGTCTTGTTAAGCCCTATAAACTATAAACCGTACTTGTGACGTAGGGCTGGGCGCCTCAATTCGGCTTTGGCAGGAAGGAGGGAGACAATTTAAACCCTAAACCCCCTAGACCCTAAACCCCAAACCCCAAACCCTGAAGCCAAACCCCTAAACCTGCAGACTGGAAGTCGAAAAATCGGCTCCTCACTATGGATCCCTCTACAATCTACACCCTTGACACCTAAACCAAGCCTGAACCCCAAAGACCCAAACGCCAAAACCGAAAAAACCCTAAACCCTAAAGCACTTGACCCTAAACCCTTACACCCCTAAGCTCTGAAAGGGTTTTGCTGCTGGCTTGTGACCTGGCAGCCTAAAGAGACAGCCGCTGGACAGCCAGGACCAATCCAAACTATAGGGTTTAGGGTTTAGGATTCAAGGTTTGGGGTTTCTCGCAGAGCGTGGCATTGGAGCTGGGACCATCATGCTAGCGTTCACGAGACCTCCAGTTACCAAAATATTAAATAAGATGTCATGTAGGGGGCCTTCACAAATAAAATAGGGTTTTGGTGTATATTATGCTATACTCAGAATAAGGAGCCACCCAAAATAGTATAGGTAGTTATTAAGGCCCCTGGTAAGCACGTAGCCCACCATTTAGGGAAGTGGAGCCCAAGGAGGTTTGACAGCGCTTAGGGGTCTCCAGGGTCAATGATAGGGTGTCGGTGTGCCGGGTTTGCGAAGTGTCAAGCAGAGTTTATGAACCCTAAACACTAATGTAGGGGCCGTAATGATTAGAATAGGGCTTTGAAGCCCATTATACTAGAATTATAATAAAGAACCCCCGAAATAGTATAGGTAATTATTCAGGCCCCTTTATTAAACCCTAGCCCCGAATCCTGTCTACACGTTGATCGTGCTCATCCCCAACCCGATATAGGGGCCTGAATACCTGTGCTCTGTAGAAACTACTTAGGCGGTTCCTAATCTAGGTATACTGAACCCCAAAAGTTGGAAATCGGATTAAGGACAGTTAGTGCTGGGATTCCCCGTACATTAGTCTTCAGGACAAAGGCTATTGGGCTTCCAACTTTTGGGCTTCTACTGTATAGTATATAAGATCCACCGAATCCCAAGTCAAGTCTTATCGTTGAGGATCCTGAGTTAGAGCTTGAGGTTTGAAGTTTAAAGGATTTCGGTTGCGGATTAAATCGTGAATGGTTTAGGGTTTAGGGCTTAGGGTTTGTGATGTGTGGCTTAGGCTTTGGGGTTGAGGGGTGTGGATTTAGAGCTCAGTCGCCTTCCTGATTCTGCTAGCCTATAAAGGTTTTGAGGAACGGGCACCTTGAGCAATCATAAAATACTTCCCAAACCAATCGGCCACACGTACATGAATTAAATGTTCTGCAACGTATAATTAGTGTCCCCCAAATTCTAGAAGCGCTGCTAAAATACATAGCAGCCGAAACCCTTCCGGAAGGATCGCACGCTTCATGATCCATCGCCCGGCCAAAACTAGCCGGAGCCCCGTGTGTAGAGTAGTGGGCTGACACTTCACAAAGATCCTGCTGACACGGCGATGAACCCCACAAGCCAACACCTACAAAGAAAGAGGCCTAAGCCCGAAACTCTAAACCCTCAGCCTTGAACTCTGAACCCTAAACCCTGAACCCTGAACCCTCAACCCTAAACCTAAACCCTTGATTACATCCTTATAAGCACATTAACACCCACCCTAAACCCTAAACCCTAAACCCTAAACCCGTCGCCCTTTTTGCTTGGTGGCAGTGGGACCCTTGGCAGACAATGCCTTCGAGGTCGGAGAAGTCAGAGCCCCACGGCTCTCCCTTTTGAAGGGCTGTACTGACGGTTTAGGGTTTAGGGTTTAGGGTTTAGGGTTTAGGGTTTAGGGTATGGGGTTTAGGGTTTAGGGTTTAGGGTTTACGGTCCTGGTTTTGTCTGAAGATCTTCATAAAACCCGAACCCCCGAGGTACCTACTATGTAGGGTACTAGAGCCCCTAAAACCCTGTATAGTAGGTACCTGAGGGTTAGGGAAAGGTAAAGGAAACCTCTGATGTCAAGGGCCCTGCTATGAAACGAATAGGGTTTAGGATTTAGGGTTTAGGGTTTAGAGGTTAGGGTTTAGGGTTTAGGGTTTAGGGTTTGGAACCCTAAACCACGAACCCCACACCCTTAAACCACAAACCCGAAACCATGTAGGGCTTGAGGCTAAAGACTTACTGTCAAGCTTCACGAGCCCCTGAGATCATTGGCTGTTCCTTGAGGGCGAATAAGGGTTGGGGATTTGGTTAAGAGTTTAGGGTCCAAGGATTTCGAGAGTTTAGGACTTGGATGTACTGGTTTCATTTGGGTTTAGACTTCAGGGCGTCTGTGCTTGATATTCCCGGCGTTTCATGGACGTGGCTCTGCGCATCAAGATGGTCCAATGCAAGTGTGAACATTAAGACGACGCCAACATAGACTTGAGGATACCAGGATCTCCACTTGCCTCCAAAATTCCTTGCCACGGACCTGTGAATGCTGTCATGCTCCCCTAAACCCTGAACTCTAAACACTACGATTGCCCTAAACCTTAAAGTCGAAGCCGGAAGCTTGGAACATTATTCTCTTCATGCCCTCAAGGTAAAGTAGATCGAGTTCCAACAGTAACCATCCTAAACCCATGTTCCAATGGGGTTCACCGCAAACCCTAATTAAACCCTTACTACCAAACTAAGCGAGAATTCCTGCACTTTCAATCCCAATGGGTCCAAAGTACCAGTATATAGTTAGGCTCTTTGTAGAATTTTGGGCCCCAAAGTATACACTAAAATGTTGTGTGGACCCTTTGGGAATGTAGCAAGGACCCCTGGTCGTGAAGCACTTATCAGTTCAGGTAGAATTTACCGCGGCTCGTTTTAGGGGGCTCATTTCTGGGATTCTAGATGAGGTTTCTGCCACCACTGGCCCCCTGAACAGAGACAACAAAAACACCGTGACACACACACACACCCTAGAAACACACAGAAATGCTCTGAAACCTGCACTGCGAATCTTGCTACATACACGACTACTAGGAAAGCTTCTCGTCGTGGGAGAGCTCGGACTCTTTGGTGTCCGCAGACGCTCGAGGTGGCAATTTTGTTTATTCTCATAGACTGTTGAAGCGGGTGGAGGGGTTTCGGGCTTATGGAATGAAGCTCTGAGATGTCGGGTATGAGGTTAATGTATGTCTGTATGTATGGATGCCTGCACCATGTAAGTTTGCATATACAGGTATACATTGGACTTCCGGATGGCTACCATGTTGGACCACGGCCCTGTAGGGTGCCGGGTCTGGGATCTAGGTTCTTGTAAGTCCTAGATCTTTGTCGGTTCCGGTTCGAATTATAAGGCGGTTCGCACTGCCGTTTGCCACCTACAGTTCGCCTGCAGGAACGCTGGGGACTCACAGCTAATGGCTCAGGACGCTGTTTCCAGAGAGGCCGTTTTCAAGGTCACTGATTCTGCGACCAGCACACGGCACTCTCCCTCCAAACCTCTTTCGAGGTATGCTCATTCAAAAAGTCGAGCTGTGGTACATGGCAAACAATTGCACAAGAACCAAACGAACCTCCCAAAAGGGTCTACAGAGTTGGGGAGTGCGGGCTGGCCGATGCCCTATACTACCCGTGCTGCCTAAAAGCCACGTCTTCAACCCAACCTGGGCCAGGCTCCAGGCCCCGCCAACAGAGATGCCCGGCCCCTGTATGAGGTTCGTTCAATCCTCCAAAGTCTCGACAACCTATCGCGACATGTCGAACTATGACGTCAAGCCAGCTCATGGCATGTTTCGGCCTTCCTTTCATGACCCTGCTGTAGAGCTCCAGATTCTTGTCTGACGGCTGTTGCAAGAATCACATCATGATACGGCCAGGTGAGATGATGGCGGCCTGGCAGCTACGACCTATATCTACAAGAGACGCTCTCACAATCACTGTGACGACAACAGCAATGACAACATTATGTATATAATCAGATCTATAGTTGAGATAAATGCGATGATGATGATAATGATGATGATGGTGGTGATGAACGTGATCCACCACAGACACTACCCAATAGGTCTAAATATCGCCAAACACCACCGCATCACTGGCATAATTGAAGCTACGACTGCTTTGGCATGTGCTGCTGTTGCAGGAAATTGCTCAGTGATGAATGAACCCTCTCGGCCGCCGTGGTGTTGAACTAAGTCCGTCACATCGTTAAAACCGTCTCACCTTCAGAAGCCACGACGATGGCCCGACGATGTCATGTAATTACTCCAAACCTGTGGATCGAAGTGCCACACATCTTGCGCCGATCTGGTTTAGGAAGTTTAGGGTTTAGCGTTCTGGTAGGTATCGGCGATCTCTGAAGTTACGCACCAGGTTCAGTGCGGCCTTGTGCTGCCACTGTCGACATGAGAACCAGACTTAGAGGAACCCTGATTGCAATTGCTTCCGCAGCTTTGTCTTTAGCTGCTGGCGGCTAAACACTAAACCCTAAGCCCTAAACCCTAAACCTAAACCATAAACCCTACACCAAAACCCTAAACCCTAAACCCTGAAAGCCAACGTGCCACACGGGCTGGTACATTTCCGGATTCAAGCATACTCCCGCACTCAAGCGTTCAGCTGCCCCTTGGTCTTGCCCTGGCACAGGAATGGTTGGGTTTTCGGGGGCTCCCTAGGGGTCCATGTACCCAAATAGGGGTTCCTCTTTAAGGGCTCTATAAGGGGTACCATAAGGGTCTAAGGATATTTACACAGGCGTTCCCTTAGTTATGTTGGGTTATAACTCGTTAGGAGGGGTTAGGCCCTAACGCCGGCTAACTTT